TGCCATTTTGGCAAATAAATGATGTTTCTCCAAGCATTCTAGGACCGTTTCCCCATGCTGCATATGAAGTTCCCAAGTGGCACTGTAGATCAGTATATCGTCGAAAAAAATCAACACAAATCGCCGCAAGAATGGTCGAAAGATAGCGTTCATCAATGCCTGGAACGTAGTTGGCACGTTAGTAAGCCCGAATGGCATTACGAGCCACTCATACAGACCCTGATGCGTTTGGAATGCGGTCTTCTCTCTGTCGAATTCCTTCATTAATATCTGGTGATAACCAGAACGTAGGTCCAGCTTTGAATAAAAAACAGAGCCATGTAGTTCATCTAGTAGTTCATCTACCGTAGGCATCGGGAACGCATCCCTCACAGTCACTGCGTTCAAGGCTCTGTAATCAATACAAAACCGCCACGTTCCATCCTTCTTTTTGACAAGGATTACTGGAGCTGAAAATGGGCTTGCACTTGGTTGAATCAATCCTTCCTCTAATAGTTCGGTCACCATTCGTTCAATTTCTGCCTTCTGACTCATCGGATATCGGTACGGCCGAACCTTCACAGGTCCTGTGTTCGGCAAAAGTGTTATGGCATGCTCATGGTCCCGCGATGGAGGTAATCCGTGGGGTCTATCAAATACTACTTTATGTTGCTGTAGCATGTGTAACAAGTCTGCGGGTAAATCTTCTGGCCAAACACTGTTCTTCCCAGTGTTTTCATCAGCAGTTAATACATATAACTCAGCTATACCGTCCACATGAGTGATCCGCTGTAACTAGTGGCATTGGGCCCTTAACACGGGTGACCCTCTGTACCCCTTCAAAGTCGCGACCTGTCCATCTTGGAATATTTTGATGGTAGAAGTGCTGTAATCAGACACATGGGGCCCCAATGTCTCTAACCAATCAGCACCCATTACCATATCTACTCCAGCCACTGGTAGTACATACATTGTGATGGGGATGGTTTGACCGCAGATCTGTACGGGAACGTCTACGACCTGCTTATCACTCTTCATGATTCGACCGAATCCACCCAACACCCTCAACTCCTCTGCTTGCACGACGGGTAGTCCGATGTGGTCTACCATTCGGGGGTGTAGGAAAGTATCTGAGCTTCCTCCGTCTAGCAATATCTGGACCTTCGTGCCATATATTTCACCATTGAACCGAATGGTAGCAGCTCCTTGGGTACCTCGCAACGCGTGCAATGATAAGTGATGCGTTGGAATCTCGGCCTCAGCTAATATTTCCCCCTCATCCTCTACCACGACTTCGTCATTGTCCTCCCCTTCCCCTATAAGCATCATAAGTTGTTTATTAGGGCACCGGTGTGTCGGACTGAACTTGGCGTCACACGTATAGCATAATCCTTTCTCTCTCCGAATCTGCATTTCGGCCGATGTCATTCTCTTTATCTGTGCTGCCTTGGGCGTGGGTAATAATGGTGGTAAGTTAGCCTTTCCCCCACTCAAAGAGTTTCCTGGAGTCATAGTGTTGCCCCCCATCACTGTTGAATTAGGTTTGTGAAGGACCGTGGTCGTAGTGCGAGGTTTGTAACTTCCCGCTCTCCCTACTGGGTTTTCTGCAAACAGTCGCGCCAGTGCCATAGCACTTAGAATAGAGGTGGGACGCTGTACTAATACACTCCTCTTAAGCTCCGGTAGCAAGCCCCCCAAATAACAATCTAATAATGCCGGTTCAGGCACCTCTTCCGTGCGGTTGGCGAGGGATATGAATTTGTTGTTATAATCATCAAGAGCCCCTCCCACTCCTTGCTGGGTGAGTTTAAAAAGTTGTGCTCTAGCACAGTCGAACTTAGAGGGCCCATACTGCATTTCAATCGCATGAGTCAAGGAGAACCAGTTTGGGATCCGCCCTGCCTTCTCCAGCATTTGGAACCATGACAGCACATCTCCATCGAAATGAACTGAAGCAATAAGGATCTTTTGCGCGTCGCTCGCTTCGTAATATCGGAAATATTGTTCGGCCTTAAATATCCAATCCAACGCATTCGTCCCGTCGAATCGAGGGAAGTCAACCTTCATCGTCTTACCAGTATACGGGATCTGGTTAAGGGGTTGACCCCCAGATAAGCTCGACTGGAAGGTCTCCTTCATCACCGAGGATGAGGCTTGTTCGCCTTGAGCACTCAACCCGTCCATCTTCTTTGCCATCGTTTGTATCAAGTTCTCCAGCTTGTCAAATCGTTCATCCATGCGATCAAACCGATCTTTGGCTTCATCAACAAATTCGTTGGTTCTCCGCACCTCCGCTTGCAGTTCTTTCAACCGTGTGTTCTCGGCCATTTTCCGTCTCTCAACGAAAGCACCAAATGTAATGTTAACCTGCAGAGCAAATTATATTCTACGATATATTCTATTCAAAACCAGAATCTGTATTCATATATCATTCATCGATGGAATTCACAGATTACACTCATAACTGTCATAGCAGCACGCAAGAGCACGTAACAGAAAATAATCACAGAATATTCAAGGGGAGAGAGAGAGAGAATGTCAGAAGGGAGAGTCCGTCCACCTACACACCCTGCTTCTAACAAACTTTGTCCTTTATACTCACGCGTCGCCTTCCAATTCCCTCAGTTTCCACGTTTTCTTCCTGACTCGCTGGCTCTTCCGGATATGGGTCGACATATGCTCTGGTTGTGGGCCTATTGGTCCAATTTCACGGCTTGAGTCCATTACACTCTTGTTGGTAAAATCCCACATATTTGCTTTTTTTTTGGCTAAAGCATAAGTATCACTGTCAGGCACTAAATATAGGCACATCTCCTAACAGGGATTCGAACCTTGGTTCACCACGTTATGGGAGACTAGTTCTTTCTGCTAGATCCAACCCCCCATTGGTCACATATTTGTTTATTGTTAGAGAAGCAAAACACACTACCTCTAAAAGCCTATCAGCACAGAAAAATAAACAAAGGATGAGAAAAAAGCATTAACATTGAGGAGAGGGAAAAGCTTGCCCAGAGGCTAGAGGTGAGAGAATTAATGAATTATAACTAATATGGAATATTAGGCCTAATAGACAACTAATTATAAGTATTAAGAAAATTAGTTGGATTAGTTATTTATAAGAAATATTTGTTAAATTCAATCAGCACTCCCATTAATGAAGTCTTTTTAATGCATGCAATTAACTAGAATGATATAGAAAAAAAATTATAAATTTTGGAAATAGAGCGAATAGAGATGTTATATAGAAGTAAAGAAAACCACTCAATTGATTCATATATTTACAATTGGAAAGAGTACAGGCACAATAATAGAACGATATCAGAACAGAAACGATCGCTTGAGGATTAAGGCAAAGGCTAAGAATAAGTGCCTGTTTGGATCGGCATCCAAACATGACTTAATTTTAAGAGAAACCCGATTGAAAATTTTTGCAATGTTGGGGATGGCTTTTGACTTATTGAAAATAAGCCCCACTAACCGTGCGGTGGGAATAAGCCAGTAAGAGGAGCTTATTTTTCAAGATTGAAGAGCTTAATTGTGTGTCAGAGAATTTATTTTTCTCTTCCCTCTGGCATTATTCCCTCATGTTATTCACTTGCTTTTTTTTCCCCGATCTCTCACCTGTTAACTATTTTTTATATTTCACTTTATATTTAAAATATTTTTTTGATTTCTCTGAAGTTTTAAAATTTAATTCACTCATTAAATTTCACTTCTTCATATTAAATCATCTTGAATTTATTGTATTATGTAAAATTATTTTTTAATCATGTTTCATTATTTATTAAAACTCATACCCTTTTTAGTCATTTTACAACCTAACTTACTTTTACTCAATCATAATAATCCAAACAACTTTTTACCAATCTTATTTTTACAAACTAACTTTTCTAAATTCCAATCTAAACATAATTTAGTTTATCCAATTTAACTTTTACTTAATTTTATTTTTTTAAAAGTCAGATTAAAAATAAACTACTTTTTCTATCGCCAATTTAAATGAATCCTAAAAAGACAGTAAAAGTAAAACACACACACACATGTATACACTGTCTTATCAAATTGTACCCAATTGAGGAATTAATAAGACTTATTTTATATATTTATTAATTTTTTTTAAAATTAAATCTATTTATATTCTCCTAATAATAATCAAATGGGGAAAAGAGGAAAGGAATTAAAGAAAATATTTAGGATATTTTAGAAAAAATATATTATATTAATTAATTTAATTAATATCTTTAATCTACTCAAATTAGCTAATCAGGTTACTTTTTTTTATTAAGAAGGCATTAAGTATTAAATATTAAGAAAACTGTAAAAAAAAAAATACCGTGGAATGGAAAAATTGAAAATAAAAACCTGTTACAATATTAGTAGTTTTGAAAATAATTTTTATGAGCAGGTTTCTATATATAATTTTTTAATTTCTAAAGTTTTTTTTTGTGATTTTTTTCTTAAACATTAATCCTTCCGTTTCTTATTATAAGAGACACTTGATGTTTATGGTATGTTTCCATATATAAGAGACATTTAAAAGTTGTCTTGGATTCTCGAATATTCTTCAAAAAGCGAATACAACGCCGCTTTAGTAATTACTGTCAGCTTTGAAAATGAAAATAAGAAGGGTTAATATATAATCTTTGATCCTTAATCTAGTACGAACTTTGATTCTAGTTTTTTAATTTTTAAATTATAAGTTTAAGTCTCTAAAAAAGTAAAATGGTTTCAGCTTTTACCAAAGTACAGAGATCAATATTTTAAATAAAATAAAATTTGAGGAATCAAAATTTATGATTTTAAACTTAAAAGGCCTGAAACTTGATAGATAAAAAATTGTATTAATCAAATGGAAATTCATATTTATTTTATTAAGTATACTTTTTTATTCTACTTTCTAATTCTAACTAATTATAATCCGCTCTAGTTCTGGTCCAAAAGGAAAAAAATCCCCCGTCTGGTTCTCCGGGTACGTTATAACTCAGTGCGAACTCCAGCTGTGGCCAACTGTTTCATTCGCTGTGCATTGCTGTGAAATGGATCAGGGCACTTTCTCTGCCCGAACCCGGAAAGCCAGACCCAAGTCTGAGCTGTATTCCACCGTCGTCGTGCACGACGATGACGACGACGACAACGGCGGCAACAGCTACGATAAGCGAGAGCAAAGCCGGAGCAGACAGAATGCCAGAAGCTCGGAACCCGAGGACGATCCATTTGCAACGATGGTCTACAGGGACAATGGCCCTGAAGACGAAGATGACGACGACCCCTCCCTCCCTCCTCTTCTCAAGCGCCTGCCAAAGGACTTCGGCGGTGGAGCTCCGTTGGACGACGAAGACGATCCTGACGACGATGCCGGCGATTTTGGCACCATGATCGTCAAGACTGATCGAGCTCGGGAGCGAAATCGGTCTTCTTCGTCGCCCATGGGTTCGACCTGGAAGTCTCGGAAGTCTCCTTTGACGCAGGCAGGTCCAATGGCGGGACTGGGTGATGAGAATGATGAAGATGATGACGGTGACGAGGGGTTTTCAACTTTTGTCGTACGTAAAACGGCTAGGTCCAGTGAGAGAGAGTCGGTCAGTGGAACCGTGGTGCGTAGGACAAGTGGCGGTGCTGGTGGTGGTGGAACTGCTACTAGCTCGACAATGGAAAGAGCGGTGGCGAGTATGCAGGCATCGGGTGAGCTGGGTTATGGGAAACAGAGGAGGGGAAGTGGGTCCTTGCAGAACGACGAGGGTAGGCAGTCAATAGGTACGAAGGTTTCATCGAGTTCGATTCCGGAAAGCGTCACCAGAGAGGATCCTACAACTAAGTACGAATTACTCAATGAACTTGGTGGGTAGCAATTTTAATTCATTCCCAGTATCTTTGCCTGCATCCTCTTATCTATTTGAATTTTTACATTCGCTTGTCCTTATACTTCCATTTATCCTGTTTCTTGTTTCTCCATGCACATTTCAACAATGACCTTCTTGAATTTCTTTCATGCGATCGTAAGTGAAATTGTAGGTTAATTGTAGCGTTTCCTGGGAAGAAAGTCTATTCTTGATCGCTTAGTAATATTTTTTTGTTTGTTCCTAAAATTGGTCTTTCCCCGGAAAATGTCAGGGAAGGGATCTTACGGGTCTGTTTACAAAGCTAGGGATTTAAAAACCTCCGAGCTTGTCGCTATCAAAGTCATTTCCCTCTCTGAAGGGGTAAGTTTCTCTTTTCTATTCCCTGCTTTTCCTCTAACCGTGTATATAAGTAGAGTGAGTTTAAACTTTGTAAACAAACAAAAATGCTTCCTGTGCTTAGGAGGAGGGATACGAAGAAATCCGAGGTGAAATTGAGATGTTGCAGCAATGTAATCATCCAAACGTGGTCCGCTACCTTGGAAGCTATCAGGGAGAAGAGTATCTTTGGGTAAGAAGACATTAAACGAAAAGGAGGAAAATAGAAGCATTTCCCCTCTCTAACCTTAGTTTTCCATTCATTTGTTGAACTAGAGTGAAGCTCTTTAAAGGTTAAAATTTCATGGGTAATGGTGTGCCTGCATATGCTTGTTAAATGAGGGCTTTTCATATTTTTGGCAGATAGTTATGGAATACTGTGGCGGTGGTAGTGTTGCTGACCTGATGAATGTAACTGAGGAGCCACTGGATGAGGGTCAGATAGCGTACATCTGTAGAGAAGCATTGAAGGTATTCTAGATTGAGCAGGTTGAATTTGCATTTATCAATTATAGACCGCTTATTGATTTGCCCTTTAACCTCTGCTACCCTGAAGTATGCTTGATTTGAATTTGATGCCTGTGCTTAAGATCTGTAAAACGAAGTGCTGAAACATAGGCTCTGGGCACCAAGTGTATTATGTGTGTCAATTGTTTTCTTGGTTTATTTTCTACTTATTCCATTTTTGCTGTTTATTTCCTTAACTCTGCGTAGGGACTTGAGTATTTGCACTCCATTTTCAAAGTCCATAGGGACATTAAAGGTGGGAATATCTTATTAACTGAACAAGGAGATGTCAAGCTAGGTAAAGTTTGCTATGTGAATTGTGTGTAAGATCTTCTGAATTCTCGAGCTTATTTAATGATCCTCATTTAATCCTATTATTTTGTTGCTGATATTATTGTTTTATTGCACTTTAGTAGATTGCACATTCGATAAGCTTAAACGTTAGGCTATTCATTATTATTGAATATTTATATTGAGCCATAATATTGTTTCTAATGTGAGATGGGCCGCTAGAAACAATTGCCATATATATTTTTTTTTTGAAGTGTTCCTTTAAGATACCTCTAGCGAGCAGAGGCCCTTGTGTTATCAGTGAATGAGTGAGTGAGTGACTCCTATGCAAATATTTTCTTAACAAAATATAAGTACCTCAGTGAAAAAATTATCTTTAGTTGGACTCTTCTAGAAACTAGTGAAAGATCTTGCTGGATTGGCATGGAATTTTTCTTAGTCACTGTTGCATGCCTGCGTATTATTTACTCCTGCACAGACTTTAGTAATTATTCGTGGTAATGATTAGAAATCTTGGAAGAGATTGTAAGAAAGAATTGGGTGAAAAATAGTGCACGGACTTTGTGGTGCTTTTCTCCCCTTTCCTTCTGTGCTCCTATTTTCTATCTATGTTAACTGAAATGGAAATCTATATCTAATGCATTAGAATTCTTTGACTTCAATCAACTGGCTGTTTAAGAAAAGCTCTTTGACGATGTGAGCAGGGGATTTTGGTGTTGCTGCACAGCTTACGAGGACCATGTCAAAGCGAAACACGGTATTTAATTTGCGAACCTATTATTTCTGTTAAGAACGCACATGGGCATTTATTTTATTTTATTTTTTTAATTTTGCATACTGAAGTTGAGTGTGTTGCTACTGCCATATTGCATCTCTAAACTCTTCCGTTTGGTTAGAGTGGTGGAAATGAACTCTCTTTCTATAGCACTCAAAAGGAGATATATAGTTTGTATTTTGTTATGACTACTTCACAGTTTTTATTAGTTCTTTTACCCAAGGGATAATTTACAACATCTCTTTTGTCTGTCTCATCTATATCATCTTCCTTTTCATTTTCATTCCTATCTGTTATGCTTATCAAATGGTATTGTGATGGGTTTCTGGATTCAAGAAAGCTTATGCTGATGAGTGAATGCTCAGTAATACTCCTGTAATATCTCAAAAATGGCCATCATGTGGATGTCCTTTGGCTGTGAAGTGTTTACAAACCATGTACTGGCTAAACCTGTGCTGAATCTCAATTTTGATTAAGAGGGTGGTTGTAGAATGCAGGTTGATGCCTATTATCGAACTTTTTCCCTTAATGGGGTTGCACAGAAAACACCATAAAATTACAATAAATATATTAAATATGTTAATCAAAATAGGTATGTACAGTGTTTGATGTATATAATTGAAATTGTAATGGATGTATCAAAGCATGGAATTTAAGCTACTAAGTGAATTCTCATGAACGTTTCTTTATTATCACTAACTGAGATGATTCAAATTAACGTGATGTGTGGCATCTCTGCCAGCAATATCATTAACAGGAATTGGCTGAGGCTACAGGTAGATTTATCGGTTCTGACATATTCAGCCAGTCTTTTGGTCATGTATTTCTGATTTGTTTGTACAATTAGTCGTAATAGTGATGTGATTGCCACAATTTCTTTTCGTAATTTACCTTGATTTTTCCTTGTCAGCATGACTATTTGCTGCTTGCAAGTGATATGCACTTGTTATATAGTATTTGCTCCCTGTGAATAATTATGGCGTGTGGCTTTTGTTAAGGCAATGTGATTTCAGGGGGTGTTTGGATATAACCAAACCATGGTTTGAAGAATAGCTTTTGGAGAATAGATTTTTTGAAGAATGGATTTTGTGAAAAAGTGATTTTGAGAAGTGAGAGTGTTTGGATAGTTGTTACTAGAAGCACTTTTTACATGTACAAATTACTAAAAAGCACAAGTTAATATGATAATTACAGAAAAAATATATTTTATGATATATTTTAATTTGAAGGAATAAAATTGTTAATAATATATTTTTTATTAACATAATTAATAATACATAAGATAATATAATTAATAAATAATTAATATGTATATATATTTATAAGATATAAGATTAAAAATATTTATAAAAAAATATGTTTATAAAAAAAAACAACAAGATACATATCCTATAGGCTCTCACACTCTCCTTTTTTTTTCCAAAAGTAAAATTTTTTTGCTTTTTCCAAAACCATGGTTTTGGTTTTTTTTAAGGGTGGTTTGGGTGATTTTTTCCCAAACCATGGTTTGGGTTGGAACCCAAACACCCCATAACATACGGTTAATTATTATTTATTTTCTTAGCATGAACGGAGATTTGAAGTATTCTTTTTACTGGGTTTATAGTTCATTGGAACGCCTCATTGGATGGCTCCAGAAGTTATTCAGGAAAGTCGCTATGACGGAAAGGTACCTCAAGTCTAATTTCCCCTCTTCACTTGTCTGTATCTTCCTTTTCTTCTTTCATAATCTTGAATCTTTTTCTCTGCTACCTCACGGATCTCTAAAAAGAAATACTAGTTTTGCATTTTTAACCCTTTGAACACATGATGATGAACAAATAGATGTCATGGCGTTATTGTTGAACAGCATGCAGTCTCCGGTAGTTTTATTGTTTATTTATTATTCTGTTTATTAATATTTTATCTCTTAAGTTATCTTTATTAAGTAAGATTTGTTTTCAATTTATTTCATTCTATCCTTTCAAGGATATAGATAGATTCAACCTAGATTATTATTTTAGTTAGGAGGCAGGTTTGTTACCTCAGTTATGTCTATATAAACACTAGACATCGGTGAATAAAATAAGTTAGACTGAGATACTTCGACGCTGCTGACTTTCAATGATTATAGGTGCATCAGTGGTTTTGATTTGATTATCAGAAGCAGAAAGTGAATATTTTTATGCGAGTGATTGTAAATAACAGCTAACTTCATACAGAACAATTCATCACTGTTTGTGAATGTCATTATTTGAAACTTGAAACTATCTCTTTTATAAGTTGATGATTTTTTCCATTAGAATATATGCAAAATATAGTTATATCTGCAAACACGAATATGCTGATATAGAGTTTGGAATATAGGGAAAGTACAGAATAGTGCGTTTGAAAGGTACAAGAACTGGTTAAAATAAGAAATTTGATGCTGCATTGGATGTGAAAGCATCGAGGTTTTTGACAGCGCATGCATAAGTATTCGGCTATTTCAGTAAGTCAAATATAGGACTGATCGAGAAAAATGGAGATCTAAATTCATCACATTGGCGGATCACTAGAGTCTAGAACCGTTGAATTTTTTATTAATAAATTTCTGTTACTTGGGAATACTAATTTGATTTAGAAATGATATAAACTTGGCCTGTTATATCTATCTAGTCAAGTTCTAAATGAGGTTACTTTAATTTTTTTATTACAATGGCTAAAGCATTACTGATCTTCTAATTCGTGCTTATATCCGTTTACAGTGTAATAGTGGTTATAGATGGGTGGACTTTAAGTTCTTTTTTTTTTAAACTGATTGACAATATAAAACATTCCACAAAGTACTGTATTTTATATATTTGTTTATTCAGGTAGACGTGTGGGCTCTTGGTGTGTCTGCAATTGAAATGGCAGAGGTATTCCTATTACTTGTGCTTTTAATTTTGGCAGTCCTGTCATACTGTTACTTGAACCAAACGTGGATTACTTGTTGCTCTATAGGATGTTTGCAATTTAATTTGTCCATCATGGGTAGTGCTTCTTAGGTAAACATAATAATAGGTTTCCTTTTTAGCAAATTTTGTTCCTGAATATCAAGTGCCCAATATCATCTTTGCATATTATACATCCCGTTGTGCCGAAATTCCTTCTTAGAGGAAAGTTCATACGCTTGTCTTCGTTAACAAGTAAGATATTTTTGTTTGCTTGAATGATTTCCCATATAGTGTTATGCATGACATTAGCCCATTTAATTTGTTGGCAGTTTTATGTTAGCTATTATTCTTAATGTTTATTCTAGGTGGAAGAGTTTTATGATACTTATACTTCTTTGGATAAAATCTTTTACTGTAATTTTCAGGGCCTTCCTCCAAGATCAGCTGTCCATCCAATGAGGGTTAGTTTTCAACTGAGGAAATATACGCTTTTACTTATATATGCGTGTGCTGCACCCTGTTCAGTTTTCCCCCCTTATTTATGATATTTAACTATAATATATGTTTCAATTTGTTGAAGTTATGGTGATTTCATCCCTTGAACTGTAATAGCTATGAACTGGGGAAAATATTGGAGAGGAAGAAAAGGTAGAGCAAGTGTGAGGTGAATAGGAGTAACAACTGGCGGATTAAGGGTTAGCTAGAATGTATTACAGGATCCATGTAATTGCTTCTACTTGGTTAATACTGAAGCCTGTACTTGCTAGTTGCTATTGTTGTTGGTTGTTGATGTAAATTTTATTAACAGTAGTTTGTTTATTATCCTTAGATGTGACACTTGAGCTTTTGTAAGAATTGCTTCCTTGAAAAGCAAATTTTCTTTAGAATTACGGTACAAGCAATTTTTGTGATTTGGTTTTCCTTGTCAAGTGTCAATAGAATCGTTATACCTGCCCTTTTTTTTTGTCCTGTTCTGCTATGATTATTTTTTATTACTGGCACCATTCAAGTTTTTCATGTACTAGTTTCATGGTTACTTTCCTACTTAAACTGCAAAAAATTTAGCTGCCTTGTACCTTTGATACATGGTGCAAGAAACATGGCTTTGAGTTTGCTATTGAATCATCATTACACTAATATTTCAGCTCTGTGGTGCTCAAATTAGTCATCTTGAAAGCTATCTTATATGTCCATTTTTTATGGTATTTGGTGAAGTATCTGAGATACTTCGTTCCTTTTTATAGGTTTTGTTCATGATATCCATTGAACCGGCACCAATGCTTGAGGATAAAGAAAAATGGTTTGTCTTTAAATCCAACTCTTTGTTGCTATATAAAGCCATGAGATTAAAGTGGCAGTTAGTTGGTTACCTGGTATCATGTTGGTTGATGAAAATTTAGCTTGCTATTTTGAGTTTGATAGTCTCCTTAATCCCACAAAACACTTGTTTTGTGGGCTTTGAATTTTATGGTTTTGTGCATTGTTTTAATGGGAGAATTTGACTTAACAGCAGTCTTGAATCTGGATTAGAATTTCCGTGATCAGTCCTTTTCCCTAGGTTCGAGAAATTCTATCAGTATCCTTAATTGCCGTTCCATGGAGGAATCAATGTTTGTGCCATTCTTGGTGGTTTAAAAAATTGACCCAAATAAAAATGTTCTTTTTGTGGCCCGGACCATTTAACCCGGAACCAAATCTGTTTAACCCATATCGAAAAAAATAGTGTACCTCCTGATTTTCAGTTGTGTTTGGTCTGATTCATCTATGTTAAAATTAATATTATGAAGACGTACAAATTTGATGGTTTCCTTTTGTAGGTCTCTACATTTTCACGACTTTGTGGCTAAGTGCCTTACTAAGGAACCTCGTTTACGACCTACTGCATCAGAGATGTTAAAGGTATGCTGAGTAATGTTGATTCTGATATAAAATCTGAATATTACATGAAATTGGCTGCTGGTTAGATGACATAAACTATTCAGAGCTGTGCCGGCAAGTTAAAAGGAATTAGGAAAGGAGAATTAGACAGGAAAATAAGAGGAGATGACGTTCATTCCTTGTGTGAGCTTTGAATTCTAGGGAAGATGAGGTAACATGGAAGGTGGAGAGGGATTGGAGGCTTCATTGCGTCGATGACTTTTTTGTTCCCCTTGTTTTGATGAGGACAACATGTATTAAGCCCCTCCTTCGTACCCCACTTTTATCTTCAATGAGGTTTCTTGCTTCATCCAACAAAAGCCTGACAGGCATTAGAGTTTTAAATTTTCAATTTGTTGTGCTCAGTAAAGTTGTGAAATATATTTTTGGTATATATGAGGCAATGTGTTGTTGATAATGGGATTTAATGAATGAAATGAAAATGATTTCCACTCCTTTTCATGATCATACAAAGAATTAGCCTTTAATCCTTATAGTTTTACTCCCATCATCTTTATCCTCACTACATATGTCATGTCCTTATGGTGTCTTTCTCACTTTTTAACTTATGATACACGGCTGTAGAAGAGTATTAGGGAGAAGGGAAAGAAACAGAGAGAGAATAGGAGTTTGGAGATGAGAGAGAGAAAGAACAGAGTCGAGAGAGAGAAATACTCTGCTGAATATTACTCATGAATCATTCATCAACAACAACATTAGGCTATCCGAGTCCTATATATAAGAGTCAGCCTGTGCAATTAACCGTGTAATGCATTACTAACTAATCCTAAGCTAATTGCCTAAACTACCTTTGAGGCCTTATGGACTTAGTAAGCCTTTGTTTAATAAATCCCTGTGGCTCATAGACTTAGTAATACCGCTCCTAATCCCACTATTTATGATTATATATCAGCTTACCTCTCCTTTAATAAACAGTTGACAATTTTAGTTGGCAGTATTATCAGAAGATAACTGCCTAATTATACCTAATAGTTGTTTCTTATAAATGATATGTTTTCAATTAATTCTTTGACTGAAGCTTTTCTGTCAAGTTATGCCACAAAATGAATTCTTTTCCCCTGGTGCAAGTCAAGGCAATGATTTTCTTGTGATTTCAGACTACTCATATACATGAGTTACATAGTTTTCCTTTGATAAATTCACTTACGAAATAAGTTTTCTCCTCTGGTACTTTCTTCCTCTGATGCCTGAGCAGGCATGAGCTGGCAACTGCATATAAAGGATGGCTATTTGAAGTTCCTAACTTCTAAAGAATGCCTTTATTCATTCTTAAATCAATAGGTTTATGCTGTCACGTTTGCATATTTGTTTGATTGTTGCACTATGATTGAGTTCGAGTTTTTTCAATGTCCTAGCACAAATTCTTTGACAAATGGAAAACTGGATCAACGGCAATGATGCCAAAAATTGAAAAGGCTAGGCAAATCAGGAAATCGATGGCTTTGCAAGCACAAACTGTTGCTCCGGCTGCATTAGAAGATCAGGTATGACTAGAGTTTTGTCAGCCTCTTTCTGATACTCGTGCACAGGCACATAAACTCATTTATTACATCTTCCTTCTCTGAGGGGAAAATGCAAAAAGAAAGGCATTTTATATGTGATTCATGCCCTTGCTCTGAAACAGTGTAACGAGCAAAAACTGAATGATGACTATGGGGACACTGTTCCATCAAGACCTCTTAACGTTGGTGTTCAAGGGGCAGGTGGTCTTTCTTCAGATGGAACTCTGAGGACGCTGAATAGGTTGGAAAGTGTGGAAACGAGTGAAGGTTTGTTTTCTTGCTCTTAGTTGTAGCATGAACTGCAATTCTTTGAAAGTTGATTATATCCCAATGTCTCCAAGGATGCATAAGTACGACAAGAGAGGCAGAAATGGATGTGGATTTCAAGTTTTGCTGGCAAATTTCATCACGTGTTTGAATTAAGTGATATCGCCGATTGTTTTAACAGGTAACTTTGGCACTGTAGTAGTCCATGGAGATGAGATTGATACAGCAGCAGTCAGGCCACAGGGAGCAGATAATGCAGATTCCTCTGCTTCCTCAATTAGTGGAACAAGAGGCAGATTGGCTGATTCTCGGTACTTTTCTCTTAATTGCTGATATTCTAGGCATCCCCCTCCCCCAAAACAAAAGAAAAAGAAGTTGAAATGGTTGATATTTTATGCATGGTAAAGAAAGACAGGCCATATTGTGAAAAGTTTGTGTATCATGTCAAGAAAGTTGCCGCTATCATTCTTAACCTTTATTAAGATATGCAGAACTTATATTTACATCTTTTACCTTGCCATTTTGTCTTTACCCCTTCCTCCCCATTCTATTCATTTTTCGTTGAAGTTTCCTGAATGGTGCCTTATTA